GATGCTCTGGAAAATGTTTTCAGTAAAATCAGAAACAAACAGGCTCAACAAAACGCGTTGCAGGTTCGTTCCCTTCTGAAAAATATTTGTGTCGTCCAGTATATTGGTGACAACTCGCGATCTTCCAATGGCAATTACAATATATATAGTTGATGATTCGAGTTTATTAGGTGCAACTGATTTATTCAAAAAATTAAAAAATATAGTGAATACCTAATCAGCTGTCACTGTCCTATTGGCCGATTCGGGCACATTCCGACCACCATTGGAGAGGATTCAACAGAATTACCTATATATAGTTGTGCAGGATACATTATTTCTAGAATATTGAAACAAATTCAAAATTGTAGACCTTGTCGTAGAATATTATGTCAAAGAAGGATAGTTATATCCATTTCAAAACTATTTTGTTCGAGAGAATACCAAGCTGGGCGTTCTCACTACCCTACAGAAGTTATTTCCAATTCTTTCGTGATATTGGAACATATTTTCTTAGATTTATCGAAAACAATTTCTGCAGCAGCGCATCAGGAACTGAAAAAGCACTTTCCGACTATAATTTCGAGAGAAGAAACTATTTCAAAATTTATGTTTCCACATTGCCACAATTTGGAACCAAATCTTATAAATACGTTTATGATATTCAGAATTCGGATTTTTCCTAGAAATGAAGAGCGAAAAATGAAACGGAACTTCATACAAGATGCAAGTAACATGAGTTTTTGTATGAGACAACAAATACAAATAATATTTGATTATTTTTTCCAGCGTTTGGAGAAATCCACTCTTTTCCACACTCATTTTAGTGCTGAAAGAGTCACTTTTCCTTACTAGTGCGGAAACAATTTTTCCGCCTACCTCTATTCAATGTATACATTTCCTTGCCTCAATGTAGGAAGCAACGTCATACTTTTTCTCCCTTGGGATGAAAAGTGACGTCATATGTTATTTAATAGTGAATATACCAGACACGTTTATTTGTCTGCTATAGAGAAGGAAAATGTATCCATGGTTGAAAAGAATTCTAGTGCTAAAATTCATAAAAATAATTGCAAAATTGGTATCTGCATATTTTACGTATTACTTTTTATCAGCCTACTTTTCGTCCTAGATGAAGTTTTAAACATAGTGTGATATTAGTCACTCCATAAACCCTTCTCCGAGTTGGATATCCGAAAATATATTCAGAACACATGACATGAGTACAGTAGTTTTGATACCCACATCGAGTTTTTCACCATTTCTGAATCATGAGGCTCAGCTCATTCAGCTCATAGATAAACTACTGCTCACCTTGAAATCAGATTTGATTCAGTCAATTCAGTTAACCCCGGTATACAATGTAAGAACAGTCTCTTTTGGTGAAATAAATTATTAAGCTTTCAGTACAAATCATATGTTCCCTACCTCGCAAAGATCATGCTGGAGAAGTTAACTCTAAAGCTAGAGGATTGTTCATCTATATCTTGGTGTAGTTGAAATAGGAATATGGAAATTACGTATGATACATCAATGACCTCAATATAACCTAAAAAACAAGAAATTTCAAAAATCTAGTGCTTATCCCCATGATTAAATATGGATGGAACTATATAACGGTTTCACAAACAATTTCAACAACAACAATAATAGACGTCATATCGATTCTATATCTATTCTCTCTCATTATGCTCAGGAAATCTAGAAAAATCCTCTACTAATTTCTATTCATAACTCATAAGGTAAACATTTGCAAAACATTATAATCCGGATACACCATGAACAAGTTGGAGAAGCACCAAAATGAATGAAAAAAAAAACTGGAATAAAATATTTTGACGTCAATTGAAATATCAAAATGTGGTCGGTGGGGTACTCCAAAGAAGGTAGACCAATTTTCATGAAAGAGAATGAGAAAAATCTATCTCCTTGTATATTGATCAAATTGGTATGACGTGTTCCTGATGCACATCTACAATAGTGAATTGTTCTGAGAATTTTGAAGCAGGACGTTCCAAGGATTGTATTCATTGAATCTGTGAATTGAATTAGTCTTTATGTTCTTATATAAAGGTGAAATGATTTCAATCGGCATCTTTTGGCCTATTTTTCACCCTGTAGAATTTATGATATGTTGTTCTGTATATTAAACCATTCAGTTTCCAAATTGTGATTTTTCTGTTGTCACTTGAATGGCAATATGAATTGTATACCTCCATGGAGCCTCCTGAATGGATTACTCATACGACTATATTATGGTTACCAGCGGCTACGTTCACAATATCTGGGATATATACATCAATTTCCATGAAAGAGAATCAGAAAAATCTATCTTCCTGCATATCAATTGTACTGGTATGACATGTTTTTCATGCATATCCACGACAGTAAATTCTTCTATTTTTATCTCAGAGCCGTAGGCACGTTCCAGAGATTTTGAAATCATCGAAAAAATATGGAAATGAAATTATTCTTCATCGCCCTCTCACGGCTCAACGACTTAGGTTTGTACAGAGGTTAATTGATTTCAATCGGTTCATTTTGGTCTCTAGCTCACCCTGTAGAATTTATTGTACGTTGTTCTGCGACACCCTGTATATTGAATAATCTCGTTTCGAAACTGTACTTTTCATCGAATATGTTCTCACTCGAATGGCAATGTTACCAGTTGCTACGTTTACGATATCTGCGAATAGGTCATCGTCGATTTGTTATAAAATGGAGGCGTTTTTTCAAAAAACAGCGGTGATACGAAGAAGGGAGGTACTCTGCAGTCATACTCTTATTCGATCAGTATCTTCGTCTGGTACTTGGGAGCCCCTATAGCAGTGGTCAGCGACCTACCCAGACAGCACCAGATATTCCATGAATCTCCCTATCATATTCCTTTTGGAATATTGGAATATTCTAGAAATAATCTGGAATATTCCGGAATATCTGTGGAATATTCTCTAAATATGCGAATGGGAATTCCTCAGATAATCATAGAATATACCCAAAAGAATATTCTATGTTGAATATTCCTGGAATATTCCAATAAACATATTCTTAAATAAAAAAAAGTGACCCAAGTAGGGATCGAACTCGTGACCTCAAGACTATCAGAGCAACGCCTTGACCACTAGGCCAGTAATCGAATTGAATAATGATATACATATCAAGTTCTTGTGAGAGCATTGTTCGAAATCGGATCATAAACACTTTTTGTTTCAAAATCTCCTTACATCAAATTGATGTTCGATACTCACATCTCTGAAATAATAAATGGTATTTATGTGTTGAGAAACATAGGAATATTCATGGAATATTTCATGAATATACACGTATACACCAGAGAATATTCGGTTGAGAATATTTCATGAATATACCGCACAGAATATTCAGTTGGGTATATTTCATGAATATACCGCACAGAATATTCAGTTGGGTATATTTCATGAATATACAACAGAGAATATTCAGTTGGGAATATTCCTGGAAGATTCATACCTGAATATTCTCTGAACATGTCCGACTATTCACTTTGGTATATTCCTTTTAGATGTTCCAGAGGCATGTATATATTCTAGGAATAATCGATGAATATTCGGAATATACTCCTCTTTATTAGCATATTTAGAGAATATTCTATGAATATCCAGTGCTGTCTGGGTAGCTATTGCGAGCTATCGTTAGCTAGATCATCAGTATGTATTAGTTACTAGTAAAATGAGCAAATTTTTCCATTTCATTCCTCATTTCTTTCAGTAAGGGATTCATAGTACTATATTAGGTAAACCTAGTACTAATGATTTATCATTGTGTGAAATTCCATTCGTAGATACTGCAAAACATAATATGAGGATGAAAATCAGCTGTTGACAAATTTGAAATCTGATTCTGGGTGTGGAGCAGTTCACGAAATGATAATTATATCAAATTAATATTCAGGTTCTTCACTTTCACTATTCCAATATGCATTGATGAATAATAAATGAAGATATTCTGTCGATACAATCAGATTAAGTTATAAAAATGTAATCATGGTCATTAACAAATTGACCATATTGATTTACACATATAGCCTTGCAAAGAAAATCGATTATTCATAATCAATTATTGCTGATACATATTGAACAGGTTGAAAAATGGGATAGTTTTCATCAAAGCTTATCAACTTCACATATCAATAGGGGAAGCAGTTCTTTGAAACTGAATGAAGGTACTATGCTCTTGAATAACTAGGTGCTTATAGATATCCATATAACCGCTAGAGAAAATACTGACAGTGGAGAATTCAGGAACACCCATTCAACAATAAATATAAAACTTGATGATAGATATTAGTGATAAGATCTGGAATCAATCAAATCAAGTTATATAATGCATCTGGTGTATAGGTTCCTCATTTCCTCTTTCACATAATTGCAATTACTTTTCTACTAACCTATTTATCGATCAATGCGGAATGTAACAAACTAATCCCAATTAAATGAATACCAACGAAATAACTAGTCTAGATTTTCCGTTACATAAATAAAAAACTAGCAAGTAATAATTATTCCATGATTGTTATACCTATACTCCCAAACAGCAGCTTTTTTGAAACATTATTTTTCTTTTCAATGCGATCGAATTACCATTCATTACGTATATCGTCTTCTTCCATCTTTTGCTAGCGTACGGCGGATCGACAGTCTAAGTGAAAGTGGTAAGTGTGTGAAAGTTGAACTCTCTAGGTATGAGCCATCTTGAAGCTTTAGTCGGCATCGGCTGTTCGCTGCTGATGTTTTGAGCGATTCGTGTTTATTTTTTCTCGCCGACCCAAACATCGCGATCCGTATTTGCCGCGAAGATCATGGAATCTACGTTATGATATTTGAAAAATTTCCGAAGAGTTTGTGATATTACAATTTGTCCCTAGCATACAAAGTGAAATTTGGATTTTGAGTGCTCAGAGGAGAACGCCAAAAACCCAACTGTTGCCTTCGAGTAATGATCAAGATCAATCACTGAACTGAAGGAGAAACTCAACACCAACAATGAACAAAATACACACTGCTATACTGGCACTGGTTTTGAGTATATTTCTGATTCAAGCAGCTGATTTCCCTTTCGAAAGCACCGAAGGAAAATTTATCAAATTTTACCCAGTACGGGCTAGTCTAAAATCAACTGTCGGTCCACCCTCAGTGAGTATATCCGGAGATCACCAAAAAAACGAACCAGGTTCAGATATTGAGACTCAGAAGATTACAGACAGGCAATTCATCAGTACTGATTTACAACCACCACCTCTGACTGGACCACAATTTTTAGACGACGATACCAGTAGCTTACAAAATCAAGGATTCCCAAATTCATTCTCATTTTCCAGGCCAGATTTCACGAAACAAGTGCAACAAAACCTCAATAGTGCTTCCAATTCTTTGATACCATTGAACGATGCAATATATAGTACCTTACCAGTTTATCCACCAATACAACTACCTCCTTCGGATCAACAAGGGAATACAGATGAATCTCAAAACGCGGACACCATTGGATCATTCTCAGATTACTCATTACTTTCACATACAGGTCAAAATTCCGACGATCATCAAAAAACCAAGAGCAGTTATGAAACGGACGAGAGCTTGACTAGATTACACAAGTACTTGAAACAAATTAACTATGATTCACGAAATGTTAACCCAGAAATCAGGAATCCTGATAAACCTGATGCAATTAACGAGTATTCAAACGAAGGAAAGTCATTGTACGAGGAATTGCTAGAAAAAGATTTCGTAAAGCCTCTACTCAAACTGTACGAGAAGGAAATACATTCGGAACCCGATTATATAATACAAAATGATACTCATCCAATCAGAATATCTAAAGAAGATTATGTCGATAACTTCAGAATATTGTCTAAAGAGGAACTGGATATGTTAATGCATGAGAATAAAAACTTTCTGTTGATTAACACTGACAAAGATGAGTCACAAATTATTGAACAGAAAGATACCGAATCGAAGACTAAAGAATCGAAAACAGTTGTACCCAAAAATGTTGAAGGAAAAAACGATGAAATGAAAGACGTTACTAAGAAAAAGGATGCCCAACAGAGGAATAAATTAACGAAATTGAAGATGTTGAAAATTGCTAATACTATATTCAATGACAAACCAGTGCGAAGAGATGATAATACCCTCGCAGAAAATAGTGATGCAGAACATATTGGAGAGATCCTTCCCGTAGATTTCACACGAAATACAAATCATCAGGAAGCATTGCTTCAACTAGGGTCAAGAAAACAAAAATATTTGCGATTCGATAACGTACCTTTCCTCTCAGAACGGTCCGAGATTGCTAGGTACCCTGTGATTTTTCCAGGACAAGGATACCATCCGGAGTTCCAACCATCAGCACCATCCCCTGCCTTACTTGATCCCACAGAGTATCAGTATCAAGCGGATAATGTGAACAGATTGAAAAATTACGAAGATGACATTGCGGGTGAACAGTTATATACGCGATCGCCGAGATTGAGTGCGTCTTCTGACGTCTTTAGAGCGTCTGGACGATTCCGGAGTGTAAGAGAACCGTTCTCTGAAGGGTTTCAACCCTATTTTGACCCTTCTGCGCGATTTCAAACCACGTGGTCTTCTAGGAGGCCACGAGTTATATTTCCTTCCGATCAAGTGGCCTTTAAGGACCCTGTGCAAAATCAGGAACAGGAACCAGAATGGCTTGCAGGAGATAACGTCTTGCAAGATTTGCAGGAGCAGGATGTCCGAGATAGAGGTGAGTTTTTATAAAAATTCTCCTTTGATTCTCTTTGCACTATTATTGAAAGGTCATCAATTCTTTATATTTCGTGTATTCCATGAACTATTTTCATTTCTGATGTTACTGTAATGGGATCGGCAAATTGATACTTTGGGAGGGCAACTCTGGAGCCTAGTGGCGAATTAATGAAGTCGAAGTGAGTTGAGATCTATTATGAAATATATATTTTGACTCTTCGTTATAATTCGAGACAAGATTCTCAAGAACGATACGCCCGAAACGTCTTGATGAAGGTGATCGGCTAAATTTCACCATCATTCTACCTCTATATTGACACTCATGCACGGAAAATTTCAGGACTAGATCTGGAATATTCTGTTAAATCATATCAAAAGTTTTTATCCTGAATCGTATTTTTCATTTATCTCGGTAGAATTCTTCTCCAAGTCACACGACACAATATGATTGGTTTGGTAAAACGAAAAATTTGATCAATGTTCCTTCGGTTTTGAAAGGCACATCACTCTCATCATAAGGATGAATAAATTCGAGAAAATCGCATATCGGTTCAGCTTAATGATTGTGGAAAAACCATCATTTGATAAATAATTCAAGTATAAGACGCGTTTTTTTTTAATCACTATAGGTTTCGATGAAATCTTTGCGCTTTTACAATAATTAATCTCAGGTACACAAGATGATCAACGAACATGATCGAGACTCCCTTGCGTACTGCACGTGATCTTAAATTTGAAAGAGTCCAACAAATACAAAATTCTCTGAACAATTAGAAAGAATTCTCCATGTTTATTTGTTATCAGATATCAAAAATGTATTGCTGCTGTTATAATTATATAATATCTCAGTTTCCATATTAGATGAAAACTCATTGTAAATGTTTGCATAACTCTATTTTCCTTTGTTCAAGTGATATTATAAATCTGCTGGGAACTTTTTGGAAAATAGTTTATACGAAAAGTAGTGTTAACCAGTTTCATCACCAGGAGGAGAATTCTCAAAAGATTTCTTCCGATATACGTGATGGTCTAGATCGAACGACATAATTACTAATTTTTGGATAGAAGTCCATTGAAAAAATTTTGTAAGAAAGTTTCTTTAACAAAGATACAGGGTGTCAACTTCCGACAACACGACTGAGTTCTAGACGTGTATCGTAACGATAGAGACATCAGCATCAATAGTATTACGCGTACTTCTTGAAAATAATAAAAAATTCGAACTCATTATCGAAATATCAACTTGCGCCAAAGATTGGGAAGGGGAAAGAGGGAAATAGTTGCTGACCCTCCTAGATACTGAAGAGTCAGTAACTGAACAATCATTGTTCCGAATAATTCCAATCATTACTCAGAGATGTATTAAATCAATCTTTATGCGAACTTTGATGAAAGTCGGCCAAATGGTTCAGAAGTTATGACGAGAAAACCATTTGTTGTCCAAAATATGATACCCTGTATTCAACGAAGTCTTCTCATATAAGCATACTTGTTTTTCGTTGTTCTTCCACCTATCAAAATTGATAATTTTCTACCAGGACCACCTGTTTAGATCCAATATTCAATATGAAACCCGCCAGGGTAGGTTCCTACGTACCTACCTATTGAATGTTGACTTATTGCTGAGTGAAACACATTATTCACATAAGTCTTTCTACGAATTTCAATGAATCTTACTGCTCGAATGGGAGCAAAAAATAGCACGAGTTATAAAAAAAATACCTTCAATGAATTAGTACTAAATGTGTTACTCTACTCCCTCCATACATGCAGAACTGAAATAGTGAATTCCCATATATTTGGAGATGAAATTGTTCAAGATTATCAGTCCAGTAGCGTGCTACTTATTCCTGGACGATTGAAGCCTATGGATTCCTGTTACCATTTCGGACCTCTTGTGTTGTGCTGAATTAGAGTTTTCTAAATCTAACTTTATTGCCCTTTCATTTTGCAAATTCACCTCTCTTAATTGATGTTCCAAGATCTGGATCAACCTCCATATCTAAACTGGCTTCTACAGTACAAGTCAAAAAAGATAAAGAAGCCCATAGGCGCCAACACAGAGAGTACATATCTGTTGTCAAAGAATAAATCGTATGCTATATGAAATATTCTGAGAAAATCTGTGATCTGTAATCAATCATGATAATGTTTTTCGATGTATGACTAAATGATATTCATCATACAGGACGTGGAAAAATTCTGAATTGAGAAAACATGATCACGAATCGCAGATGATTGAATTTCTCATCAGCGTGATAAGGAACGGAATACCTTGATCATATTTTATGAAGATTCTTCCTAATTGTGAATGTATTCTTACGCCAGTGACTATCTTGTCGCTCAGTGATTTCACGAATAACATGTAAATAAAAATGTCAGACACGAATATTTTCAGTGAAAACAGTTTTATTCGTTATAAGTATTTTATGATCGAATGAAACGAATGATAATCTAGAAATTGAAACCTTCGAAAATGGGATGATGATTCGATTCAACTTTTGTTTTCGTAGAACAAGTTCCACTAACCAGAGATGATCATCCTACCTGAGTTTGAAGAACCAGATGAATTGTGGGAAGAATTCATTACAGTTTTTATAGTATCCATCAATAATCAATCTTGTTTCACAATATCAGTTTCGGTTTCGTATGCACTGAAATTATTAACAAAGTAGGTTTGTAGTTGACCTGAACTATAATGGATGTTACAACATGAAAGTTTCTGCATTTTCCATTTATTATATTTAAATGATTATTTCAATATATCATAGCCATTAGCAATAAGTGATATGTGAGGTAATATGTGAATTAGGAAAAGGAACATCCTCATTAGTCTAGCACTTCTATAAATGTAGATGAAGAAAATACGAAGTTAAATTCTCATGATACTATCGAATTTCATGTTTTTTGATTCAATGTAACTAACGGAATATGTATAGGATGAAAGGTCTCATTAATGTTGCAGTAGTTTTCATAAGGATTTCGAAAAGAAGACCTATACATGACATGTAAGGAAAATTCAAACCGATAGAAATTGATGATAGCCTGGCAATATGACAATTGATGGTTTCAGCTGCATTTCATTTTATTTATTCAATTCTCCACTAATTGTCCACAAAATTGCATAGGATGAAGAGGGATTATATGTACCGGCAAACAATTTCAAACTTTTTGAGTGAATCGTCCCGGAATGATTGATGAGGAATTTCTGCTGGGTACCAAAATGATGTCGAGAAGGATCAGTTTTACCTAATATATTCCTGATATATCAATCAAAAAAATTTGTATCCATCAGAGTAATAATGGAACATTAATAATCGAAATTATTGCTCTGCGACGATTCTCCTTTACAACTGTCGATATGATAATTATTATGTTATGATATGTACTGGTAGTACCATTGTCATCAATTCAGCATTCACGATGATCAATTTTGGCACCAACACTGTACCTTCTCCATGACAATGACTTGTGGGAGTAACCTGCCTTATCCACAAATTTGCAGTACTCTCCATACTGCGTTTTGTTCTAGAATTTCCATTTTATTCCAAAAAAACTGAGAATTATTTACGAAGGCAGGTCAACGCTGTCAGCGAAGATTTCCTTGAATCGAGAAGGTCCGAACTCAGTATGCCTGATATAACAATGTCTGGTACCAGTTTTCTTACAATGTTCATCATGTCATTATGCTTGGTATCACCATCAGTTATACTCTTTCACGAAAAACCATGTCAATTCCATCGCGGAAGATAATTCACAGGAACTCGGATTTTTATTCGATTTCCCATGATCTAAATAGCACAAATATGACTCGTTATGAAATACTGTTACCACATATGGGGTCCAGCACCCAAACATACGCTGATACTCTCGCTGATACTCTAAGGTCCATCTAGAGACGAGCCATTCGACTAGTTGGAGATATCACACTTACGAATTCCTTGATATAAAAGTTCTTCACTAGCATCCACAAAAAATGTCCTGGTCCTAAAAAAAAAACATCATTGAAATATCGAATCACTGTCTGCCTCAACTAATGAAGGCCTCTATAGTATGTTATGTATTTCCAGGAAAGAAGGAAAATCTTTCTCCTGCATAAGAAAGTAGACAACTTTTCTTACTCGGCCTGAATTGACCTTCGTCCTAAAGAGTATATATTTCGGAAATTCACTTTACACAGAAACATAAAAAAAATCGACCTCGCTGAACTCGAGCGCCGACTGCGTGGCATTCGGACACACAGCCCACTGTGCCACTATCTCACTCGAAAATTGCAGTATAGAGTATTTAGTCGACCCAATCAGTTGTCCGCACAGGCCAGACGCAAATCTTACCACATGGATTATTTTTTTTTTGGGGCCCTATCTCCAAACGCTTCTATGTTCTTCACATATTTTTTTTTGTTCTAAAATTTGTTCTATCCGTCATTCGGTTGCCCCCTTACGAGCAACCCTCAAAAGTCTTCGAAAGTCTTGTGCGAGCAAGGAATGACGGGGGCCTTACCTTTTAACGTGTGATATCTATCGGCTATCAAAATACAGGGTGTCCCTGGAGGGTCTGTAGAAAATCAAAATCAGCCGATTGAAACCAATTTATTACAGTCCGAAATTGCTCTGTTTCCGAAACACAGGGTGGTGAATTCAAAAAATTAAGATCAACAAGTATGTACACTCCAAGAAAGTATTTTGAATAATCCATTTTTGCAGTGCTTATTTCCTGACCAAATCACATCCACGAAGATAACAGCAAATCGAGGAAGGAAAGGAATCCATTTCCTCCCGCTTGTGAAGTTTCATGAACCACGCGTAGCGGAGGGCATCAAACACATATGGAAGGAAATGAACCTTTGCTCCCATTATATTATATACAGGGTGATCTTAGAGTAAGCGGCATTTTTTCAGGGGCGTAGTCCTTGCATAAAAATGAGTAAAAAATTTATATTAATAAGGGTCCGAAAATGCTTCCTATGTGAGCTATGCCCGAGGCTATGCCCCTTTG